AGATGTTCCATGTAAATCTCTTCATTAAGATATCCATTTAGGAAAGTTATTTTAACATTCATTTGATGTACTTCAAAATTCTACAAGGCGACAATTGCAAGTTAATTTTGGGGTATGTGGTTCCCCTGGCTTCAATGAATTTCCCACTATTCGAATATTTAAAACGACACTCCAATCCCAAAGCTAAGATCTTATTTAAAAAATATTAAAAAATAATAAATTAATTGAATAAATTTGATGATATTTATAATAAGTCATATCACTTGGTGAATGAGTTTATTAATAATAAGTCATATCACTTGGTGAATAGACTTTTCAACAAATCTCTTAATGAAAGGTCTTAACTTTTTTATTTATTTCCTCTCATCTATAAATAAGTTAGTTGAGTCACTTCTTAGAAACAATTTTTTAGAATTTCAGAATATGAAAACACTTAAAAATTTCTTCCATATTTGTTTTTTCTGATGATAGAGAAAGATAAGATTGTGTTCGACTGATCACCACAGTTGTGCTTACTGTTGGAATCGTTTGTTGTTGTATCCTGAGAGACCGACATCTAATGTTACTCAAAGCACAGAGGAGAGGACGAATATGTCTTTAGAAAATTGTTCATAGAGACCTCAACAAAATTTATCTTCTGTTTATCTGATCTTGCTCATTTGACTTTCGTTCCTCCATTTTAATTTGTATTTATTTTTCTTCGTTTAATTTATATAATAATATAGGTTTATTATTATCATTATTATTTGACTGTTTTTAATCTCGGTTAACGTTTTTTCCTAATAAAAAAATAAAGTGTTTGTATTTAATCTAGTAACATTGTAAATATGAGAATAAATCACAAGCAAATAAATTTTAAAAATAAATCACGTGATAATCAAGTAAGAATTATTTAAAGTTTGAATTCAAGATGTTAACATAGAACCGAATAATAACACTAATATTTTACCATTACATGATTAATTGAGTTAATGATTATGCTTTGACGTTACTTGATTTATTATCAATATACAATTAAATAAATAAAAAATGGATTCTGAATTTTCCCACGTTGATCACGTGGAAAATAAGAATGAAATGTAAAAAAAATCCTAGTCCATTTTGTCTTGGTTTCCTGGAAATGGGACACGTGGTTTGGTGGTGCAATTTAGCACGAAAGCCACCCAACTCCCTCAACCTTTTACCAAATAAATTCAACCCTTCCCCCTATCTCATCTTGGGATTATCCATTTCATCATACCTTGATTTAAATAATTATTCTAGTTATAAAATTAATATTTTTAATTTTAATTTAATCATAAAATTATATTAATATGAAATTTAATTATTTTAAACAAATAGTAAAATATTTTAGGGTAAAGTTTACATAGAGTCAGTAAACTATACTAAAATGATCTTCATGATCACTAAAGTTTTAAAAAATACAAAATGATTATTAAACTTATCAAACTATTACATGATAGTCATTGCACATTATAATATAGTGATAAATTTTGATAAATTTAAAGATTATTTATAATTATTTAAGAAGTTTAATGATTATTTTTTAAATCGTAGAATTTCAATAACCAAAAAGGTATTTTAATATAATTTAATGCTCATTTATATATTTTATCTAATATTATAATATTATAAGATAATATATGCTCAAAATTTTTCTTAGCAATTGACAACGTACACATGCTTTGCAAATACAGTTGCTCGAATATAAATTCTCTAAAGAAAATAATATTTATTTTTATTATTGAAACTACTAAATAAATTCAGTAAATTTTAAATGAAATAGACTAAGGCTAAAGAGATGATTATATAGATTAAAGTGGTAATGAATATAGGTGTAAATGAACCGAGATTGAACGAAAAAGATTATGTTCGTGTTCATTTATTTATTTTTAAAGGTGTTCATGTTTGGTTTGTGTACGTTTAAATTTTTATTATTGTGTTCGTGTTAGTTTATTTATTTTTGAAGGTGTTTGTATTTGTTTGTTTATTTATCTTTCACGAATATGCTCGTTTATATGTTCATGAACGTGTTCGTTTAGCATTCACAAACATGTTCGTTTAGCGTTCATTTGATTTTATGAATTAAAATGAGTATTGATATTAATTTACATAGTTGAAACGTTAATCTTTATTTTTCTTTTGAACATATATTTTTTCTGAAAAGGGGAATTTTGTATTCAAAATGGGTGGAATGCAAAACTAAACAACGTCATGAGTCTCGTTAAAAAACCTCCCTAGACCTAAAGGGAGGGAAAAGAGTGCACAGTTGTTAAAATAGGAAACCTACAATAGTACAAGGCCGCAATCAAACAAGCATACACACGAGCAGGGTGAAGAGCCAAACCCCAGCTTTAATACTGCCTCAACAGAGCACATAACTTCTTGCAGTAGAACATAACATCTTTGTTGTGCCCATTCTCACTGTCAGACTCCCAGAACTGCAGCTACTATCTTACAGTAGAACATAACATCTGTGTTGTGCCCAAACCCGAAAAGCATTTTTTGGACTTCCATGTGCATACAGCAGCCATCAGCGTAACAAATGATTGTCACTGAGGAAGTAAATTGCGTACAAAACATCATGGATAATTCCAAAACAGAGATATTGATAAAAACACCATTATGACAGCCAGAAATAACCATCCGTGGTCCAAGGTGATGTGCGTTTGACGGGGAAGACTCAATGGAATAACACAGAAGAACCAAATGCACCAACAACCAATGAATTAAAACAGGAGGCAGTATCTACAAATGCACTCTATAAACAATGCGAGGATTACTCATTCATAATTTTTGCAACTCGGGTCGTCGGTAAAACTCCTCCACACTCAAAATTGCATATGGCCACTTGAATTTACACCATGGCCCAATCCTGCACAAAGCTAATTCAAAGAGTTGATTTTCACAGCAAGGTTTGCCGTTGAACATTATGTTGTTCCTATATAACCAGACAGTCCAGATAAACTCGAAAAATGCCATATTCCAAATAGGCCTCGAGTCCCTTTTTAGGGATGGACTTGTCGAAGAGTATAGTAGAAAGCCTTTGATGCTTTTAAGGGCAACCAAATTGAATGACCATCGAGAGTTCCACTTATTCCAAACTCTCCACACCACTCTACAATGACATAATAGAACTAAAAGAAATGAGAATGCTTAATTTCGCAAAAAGAAAGAAGTTTTTTTCACGAGGTACAACTCAAAATTCTTAGTTATTTATTTTTACTGACTCGACCATAGACCAATTCCCTTTTTTATTTGGGAGTATTGAATACGCCCATAATTCTGAGCTTCATGTTACTCTTCCCAAGAGACATGTCATGTCAGATCTAGGACATCCCGATTCAATTGAATGGGATGACAATTTCTCATTCCTAATCTGTAAAATAAGAATTTCGATCAAATCACGAATCGTAGTATATTAGACCCTCTAATTCTTTAAGAGGTTTATCTAAAAGATTGACGATATAACTAGGAAGACGCTTCAAATACCATACAAGAGTTACTGGACATGCCAACTTTATGTATCCCATTTGATATCTTCGTATCCGAGAATCATCAAATTCAACTTTACATTGTTCACAAAATTTAGGGCCCTCCTTTTCATTTCCAATTACTCGATAATTTCCACAAGCGCAAATTCCACTTTTTATAGGTCCAAAAATTCTTTCACAAAATAATTCAACCCTTTCGGTTTATTGGTTTTGTAATGAAAAGTATAGGGTTTTGTCACCTCTCCAACGGTTTCTCCACTAGGTAGGATTTTCCTGGCCAAGCACTTATTTTTTTAGGAGAAATTGATCCAATTTGAAGTTGTTGATGTTTATATCGATCGATCATAGAAGAAATTTTTTGATTCATTCCGATTAAGCTTCCTTCCTAATCCTTTATCCTCTTATACTAAATACATTGCCCTGGGTGGATAGCGGGAATCGAACCCAAGTCTTCTAAATTATATAACAATTCAAATGCTTATCAATTAATCAAATTACAAGTTATTATCAATTATTAATTTATAATATTTGTTATTATATTAATTAATATAAATTAATAATATTTATATTAATATATTTCGATTTATAAATCTATATTTCTATATAAATAAATCTATATTTCTATATAGTATTATTAAGTCTCGCCACATAGCACACAAAGGTGGGAATCAATATTGCAAACTCCTCGCCTGGCTAGTTTCGAGATAGTCGGAACCCTTGAAAGTATTAATCTCCACACAAAGGCCTCGACCTTTGGCGGAGCAAGCTTTGCCCAAACCAATTTCCAGACAGGGTCTTTGTCCAACCCTTCACACACTATACTGTTATAAAAGCTGAGTTGAGTATAAGCCATCAACCGATCCTTTCTAAATTAGATGATCCGAGATCTCAGCACCTCCTTCTCCATCAATAATCACACACATAAACTCATCCCAAATAGGGATTTCCCATCCGAATAGAGATACACACAATTCAATGTTCTAGTGCCACGCACCGTTTACCTTAGACCCGAAAGCATTTATCTTACCCGGTTTCCTGACAGATGTAGAGAAGACCATAGGAAATGACTCTTTTAAAGATTTCACTTCGATCCAGTGGTCATCCAGGAATTCCACTAACTGACATCTCCAACAGCACACCAGGTATTTTCCAAAAATGTTGCATCTTCAGGCAAAGACGGCCTAGCGATGTTTTGCCACATCCAGGATGATATCCTCGCATTCACTAGCCAATGAACCAAGGAATTATGGTTAAGCTCATACTTCACCTTGATTACATGTCTCTATAAACTGGTGAAGTTCAAACCAAACCTCCATAACCATTTACTCAGTAAGGCGCGATTCTTCGGCTTTAAATTGAATAGACCTAAGCCACCAAACGCCTTAGGCTTGCACACTTGTTCCCATTTCACCCAGTGGATGGGTCTTTCATAATTCGAGCCCCATAAGAATATCGAGATCAATTTGATAAGGGTTATGCGATCACCAAAGGAAAGGAGTTTCCCTTTCAACCATCGAGTTTGGACTGGAATTTTTCCAGGATCGGGTTCCACAACTTAGCAGTATTTCGATGAAACTCCAGAGGAAGGCCCAAGTATTTTGTGAGAAATGAATCTGCACCACATTTTAGAAACGCAACCCACTTCGAACATTGAGACTCATCCACCCCTATTCCATACATTTTCGATTTCGACATATTAAGGGAGAGCCCAAATGCTAACTCAAACACCCTAAGGACCCTTTTTATGTTTCCTACCATTGCAATGTTCGCTTCCAAAAATATTTCAAGGTTGTCCGCAAATTGTAAATGAGAAACTCTCAAGCTCGATTGCCCGACTTTAATTCCTTGCAATAAACTGAGGGTCACCGCTTTCTGTAGCACCCCATTCAACGCTTCACCCATCAAGTTAAACAAGAGAGGAGACAGTGGGCATCCCTGCCGAAGACCCCTTTTACTTCTAAAGCTATTTGAAGGAGCTCCAGCACTGAAATGGAAGCGGTCGAAATGCACACTCGGATCCAGCTCTGCCATATTTTGCCGAATCCCATTTTCTTCAAAATTAAATCCAAGAAAGCCATATCTACTGAATTGAACGCTTTCCAAAAATCGGATTTAAACACAATAGCCTTCCTTTTGCTTCGGCGCACATCGTCTATGATATCATTGGCGATCAGCGAGCAGTCTGAAATTTGTCTCCCGGGAATGAATGCAAACTGGCACTCCCTAATTAGCTCACCCATTATGCCTTACAATCTTCTGAAGAGCACCCTAGCAACAATCTTGTACAAACTGGTAACTAGAGAAATTGGTCGAAAGTCTTCAATGTTCACAGAGTTGGATTTCTTGGGAATTAACATGATGTGTTGAAATGTCAAAGCTTGGAAAATGAAAATTGGTTCAAGTTAGGCACCTAATAATGCAATGTCAAAATTAGGTGCAACAATGTCAAAATTAGGTGCAATAATGTTTGAAAATTAAATGGGTAAATTATAAACTTTAGTCACTAAATTTTAGGGTATTTATAAGATTAGTCCTTAAGTTTCAACTATAAATACCCTAGAATTATCATTGTTTTCTCCTTGGTAGATCGAGAGAGGTTGTAATTCCTATTTTCTCATAGTGAAATTCTTCTACCGTTGCCCGTGATTTTTACCCTAAATATTTAGGGGTTTTCCACGTAAATTTTGTGTCTCTTTTATCTTTATTTTTATTTTCTCAAATTATCAGTTGCGATTTTGCTCTATCCGATAGTCGTCTTCCGCAACAATTGGTATCTGAGCTAGATTAGAGTGTGTAATATCTGCTTATTGTCTTTGTGATTGCCACCAAAAGGTGGATCCTCCAACATAAGAAAGTAAGAAGTTATTACTCATTCTTTGAAGGTTCCAGAGAACTATTCACGATAGTGAAATAGTGGGAGCTATCCGTAAACGAAGCAATGGCAACGAAATTTGATATTGAAAAGTTCAATGGGAGAAATTTCTCATTGTGGAAATTGAAGATGAAGGTCATCCTAAGGAAAGACGGGTGTCTAGCGGCTATCAATGAAAGGCCGGTGGATTTCGCAGATGACATCAAATGGAACGAGATGGACGACAATGCTATGGCAAACTTTCATCTAGCATTAGCAGATGAAGTATTGTCAAGCATCGAGGAGAAGAAGACAGCTAAGGAGATATGGGATCATCTCATCAAACTGTACGAGGCCATATCGCTGCACAATAAAATTTTCCTTAAGAAGAAATTATACACTCTCCGTATGCCAGAATCTACTTTAGTGACGGAGCACTAAATACACTGAACACCTTATTTTCTCAGCTTACATCCTTAAGCTGTAAAATAGGAGAACAGGAATGTGCTGAACTTCTACTTCAAAGTCTACCGGATTCGTACGATCAACTCATCATCAACTTGACAAACAGTAATGTCACCAGTCTAGTCTTCGATGACGTTGCAGCTGCTGTTCTACAAGAATAAAATTGGCGCAAGAACAAGGAAGACAGACAAGTAAATCTGCAACAAGCAGAAGCATTGACAATGATGAGAGGGAGATCAACAGAACGTGGCCAAAGCAGCAGTCATAAACATGGTAGATCGAAGTCGAGGAGCAAGAAGAATTTAAAGTGCTACCACTGTAGAAAGAAGGGTCACTTGAAGAAGGATTGTTGGAGTCTAAATAAAAACTCCAATCCACAAGGCAATACCGCAAACACTTCAGATGATGGAGATGCTCTATGCTGTGAAGCGTCAACCACCGTGGAAGGCAGAAAAAGATTTGCAGATATATGGCTCATTGATTCGGGAGCGACATATCACATGACCTCAAGAAGAGAATGGTTCTATCATTATGAACCTGTCTCAGGAGGATCTGTGTATAGTTGCAATGATCATGCCTTAGAGATCGTTGGTGTGGGAACCATCAAATTGAAGATGTATGATGGAACAATTAAAGTTGTTCGAGATGTGCGGCACGTGAAAGGTCTGAAGAAAAATTTATTATCCTACGGATTGTTGGATAATAATGCTAGCAAGATTGAAACACGGAAAGGAATCATGAAGGTGTTCCGTGGAGTGCTTGTGGTGCTGAAAGGTGAAAAGATAGCTGCAAACTTGTACATGCTTAAGGGAGAGACATTGCTAGAAGCAGAAGCCTCTGTTGCCTCATGTAGTTCAGATTCTGCAATGCTATGGCATAAGAAACTTGGACACATGTCAGAACAAGGAATGAAAGTCCTTGTGGAGCAAAAGCTACTTCCAGGCTTAACAAATGTATCACTTCCTTTGTGTGAGCATTGCATAACAAGTAAGCAGCACCGGTTGAAATTCAACACATCAAATTCTAGAGGCAAAAGTGTTCTAGAATTGGTTCACTCTGACGTATGGCAAGCACCAGTAACGTCCCTAGGTGGAGCAAAATACTTTGTCTCATTTATTGATGACTACTCCAGGAGATGTTGGGTGCACCCTATTAAGAAGAAGTCAGACGTGTTTTCAACTTTCAAAAACTTCAAAGCACGGGTGGAACTTGATTGTGGAAATAAGATCAAGTGTTTCAGAACAGATAATGGAGGAGAATACACAAGCGAAGAATTTGATGACTTTTGCAGGAAAGAAGGCATCAAAAGACAATTCACAGTGGCGAACACTCCTCAACAAAATGGAGTGGCAGAGCGGATGAACAAAACCTTGTTAGAAAGAACAAGAGCAATGTTGAGGGACGCAGGACTAGAAAAATCATTCTGGGCAAAAGCAATCAATACCGCCTGTTATTTGGTGAATCGAGCTCCATCAACTGCAATAGAGCTGAAGACACCAATGGAGATGTGGACTGGTAAACCAGTTGATTATTCAAACCTCCATGTATTTGGAAGTATTGTGTACGTGATGTACAACGCCCAAGAAATTTCAAAGTTGGATCCAAAATCCAGAAAATACAAATTCTTGGAGTATGCTGATGGAGTAAAGGGGTATCACTTGTGGGATCCCACTGCCCGCAAAGTGATCATTAGCAGGGATGTTATCTTTGTAGAAGATAAGCTACAAAGAAAAGAAGACAATGACAGCGCTGAAAAGTCAGAGATTACACAGATACATGTAGAAAAGGAGTTTGAACAAGGAGATTCTTCTGAAGCAGAACCAGCACATGATGAACAAGAACCAGAGAGTTCTGAAGCTCCAACAACTCGTCAATCAGATCGTGTGAGAAGACGTCCCAATTGGCACTCAGATTATGTTATAGAAGGAAATGTTGCATACTGTCTTTTAACAGAGGACGGTGAGCCATCAACATATCAGGAGGCAATAAACAGCTCAGATGCTTCACTATGGATGATGGCGATGCAAGAAGAAATCGATGCCCTTCATAAAAATAATACATGGGACTTTGTGCCACTACCACAAGGAAGGAAGCCAATTGGCAACAAATGGGTTTTCAAAATCAAGCGAAATGGTGACGATCAAGTGGAGAGGTATTGTGCAAGACTGGTGGTCAAAGGATATGCTCAGAAAGAAGGTATTGATTTCAATGAAATTTTTTCTCCTGTGGTTCGAATAACAATAGTTCGAGTAGTCTTGGCAATGTATGCTACATTAAATTTACATCTGGAACAGCTAGATGTTAAAACAGCTTTTCTTCATGGAAATCTTGAAGAAAAGATTTATATGCTCCAGCCTGAAGGTTTTGAAGAAGACGAAAAGAAGAACTTGGTTTGCAGGTTGAACAAATCTCTGTACGGTCTAAAGCAGGCGCCGAGGTGTTGGTATAAGAGATTTGATTCCTTCATTATGTTCCTTGGATACAACAGACTTAATGCAGACCCTTGTGCTTATTTCAAGAGGTCTGGTGATAACGATTTTGTATATTGCTGTTGTATGTGGATGACATGTGGTTGCAGGACCCAACAAAGATCATATTGAAGAATTGAAGGCACAACTGGCTAGGGAATTTGAAATGAAGGACTTGGGATCAGCAAACAAGATTCTAGGGATGCAAATTCACCGAGACAGAAGTAATAGGAAGATTTGGCTTTCACAAAAGAATTACTTGAAGAAGATCTTGTCACGATTCAACATGCAAGATTGTAAGCCAATTTCTACCCCTCTTCCTATTAACTTCAAATTATCCTCCAGTATGAGTCCTAGCAGTGAAGAAGAGAGGATGGAGATGTCTCGAGTACCGTATGCATCAACAGTGGGAAGTTTAATGTTCGCTATGATATGCACAAGACCAGACATTGCACAAGCAGTGGGAGTGGTTAGTCGGTACATGGCGAATCCAGGCAAAGAGCATTGGAATATTGTAAAGAGGATCCTAAGATACATCAAAGGGACCTCAAATATTGCATTATGTTACGGAGGATCAAACTTACTAATCAATGGGTATATAGATTCTGACTATGCAGGGGATTTGGATAAAAGCAAATCTACTACAGGATATGTGTTCAAAGTTGTTGGTGGAGCTGTAAGCTGGGTTTCAAAATTGCAGTCAGTTGTGGCTACGTCCACAACAGAGGCAGAATATGTAGCAGCTACACAAGCCAGTAAAGAAGCAATTTGGTTGAAGATGCTATTGGAGGAGCTTGAGCACAATCAAGAGTATGTCTCTCTGTTTTGTGCCAGTCAAAGCGCCTTGCATCTAGCAAGGAATCCAGCATTTCATTCAAGGACTAAGCACATACGAGTTCAGTATCATTTCATTCGTGAAAAGGTGGAAGAAGGAACGGTAGATATGCAGAAGATCCATACCAAAGACAACATAGCAGATTTCATGACGAAGGCGATCAACGCTGATAAATTTACCTGGTGTCGATCCTCTTGTGGCCTGTCAGAGACGTAAGTAACATGATGGTACAAGGTAGAAAGAATGGTGTGAAGATATGATTGTTCCAATCAAATCTTCAAGTGGGAGATTGTTGAAATGTCAAAGCTTGGAAAATTGGTTCAAGTTAGGCACCTAATATTGCAATGTCAAAATTAGGTGCAACAATGTCAAAATTAGGTGCAATAATGTTTGAAAATTAAATGGGTAAATT